AATGTTTCTATGGAGAGACGAGGTGAAAGGAACAGAATCATCACTACGTCAGCGTGGGGGTCGGCGGGGGGGGGGGGTTTCACACCGTCCAGCTCGGCGCAACGTGGCTAGGGGAGGTGGACACCTGTACGGACACCAGGCTGTGCTCAGCTTGTATGGGCGTATCCAGTTCCTGGAAGCTGTGGAGGGGGCAGCCGAAACCGGCTACCTGAGTATGCACAGTGACATCATCGCCCTCCACGTGATAAACCACAATCAGCCACTCAAACAAAGGCATAGGCTCTTTATTTCCTCGTATGGCAAAACGCCGGCAGGCACTCTCATCGGCGCTCTTTCTCCTTCCCCATTCAGAGGGGTGAGTGACACTCCCAGAAAGCCCATACTGTGGCATGTTTACCTGCACCGAAACTCGCCTGCAGGTCACCCCCCTATCATCAGTGCACTGGCCTCCTTGGGCAGGATTTCACTGGATGAGAGCGACTGCTGGCTGCAATCAGTCTAATGTATCTAAAAATGTACATGACTGGATTCAGCAGCAGTCAGGATCATAAAGTAGAATAAAAAAGGGGGAAAAAAAGCTATTGACTGGCAGAAGGAGAGGAAGTATGACAGAGGTGGGAGTAAAAAGTGAAGGGTAAAGGAAACGGCGAATTGGTGATGTCAGGAAAAGTGTGAAAATGCAGCGAAACGACATTTTTTGTTTAAAAGCATCATTTTCACACCCACTAACAACGAAAGGAAGGGATATGGGGAACGTGTCGTAAAGAGCAAGTGAAACCAGACGCAAAAATGTTGGCAAACAGCTGAGTTTGTTTCCATCCAGAGCTGCCAGAGTATCTGTCGGGGGGGGGGGGGGTTTCGGTGATCATTGGTGAGGTGACATCACGTTGCTCTCGGAGAGCGAGACACCATCACCCAGCCAGAACACGAGGATCTTCCCCAGATCCGGGGGGCAAATCACACAATCGATATTCGTCTGAGTGCCTAGCAGGAGGGGGGCGGGGGTTCGATGGCACAGCGGTGTTGCTGAAAGTGTATTCCGACAGTGACTATTAAATAAACCATTTGCGTTAAAAAACACACAGAGGGTATGACATTTAAAGGTGAGCCACAGCATGGAGGGGGTGACGAGAGGGGGGGCTCGCCCAGCTGATGTCGTCCTCGTCCTTGTTCCCGTCTCATCCCCTCCCACCCATCCATTCTACTGCAACTTATCCCCCCCCGAATCAGTGAAGCAGGTCAAGTGAAGAAAGCAGACGGCTGGGGATACCCACACACACAGACACACACAGACACAGACAGACACACACATGCCTAACTGTAAATAGCTCCCCCATCAGCCAGGCCCTGGGCCTCATGAAACCCCCTCAGCCCCCCCACAGCGCTTATATGCAATGGAGGATATGCTAAATATAAGCCGGGGCGGCAAGGACAGGGGGAATACAGAGCTGGGGTCACGCCGTGGGCGGCCAGGCAGCCTTCAGTCAAAATCATGGGACACAGGAAGAGGCGGTCGGCTGGGGCACACTGCCCCCTGCAGGACGGGAGCCCCTCTCACACCACCATGATTCTGACCGGGACGCCGAGTGCGTCTGCCTAGAACCGAGCAGAGCTGCTGGGGGATATTCCTGTTAATATTCCCGTTCCTTCCCATTTCTTCCTTTCTTGCTCATCTCTCCCATCATCTGCATGCGAGGTCGCCTCCAGAGGTGCGGCTGGGGGCTCATGACGTTGCCGTGGCAGCAAACGGGAGAGGAGTGATGGTCTGTCAGACAGATTGTTTCAGCCATCCTGCATCCATCTCCCTTAATCTTCACAGATGTTGATACAGGCCAATGGTTGAGGGTGGGGGTCTGGGGATGAAGTAAGCAGGGGCAGGGAGGGGCAGATGGAGACCTTGTGGAAGGATGGAACAGGGGGCCACAGCCCACAGGAGGGACAGCAGAGGAGAAGGTGTACAGGAGAGCTAGGAGAGAGAAGGCAGATCGACAGAGGATCTGAAGACCAAGGGGGGAGGAGAGAAGCAGAGGGCATCCAGTGACTGAGCAGGAGAGCAGGTTTAGCCGGTCTGGGTGGAAAGAGCACTCTGGTCAAGAGGAGGGTGAAAGTCACGCGGCCAATCGGACGGCCTGACCGGAACCCCCCCACCGGCCTCCTGCCTCCGCAGGCATGACGCAGCCCACTGAACCAATAAATCAGCCTAACTCCAAAAAAGGTCCTTTTTCAGCTGGTTGTCAGTTTGAGGATGTCATGTGGGTGTGTGTGTGTGTGCGTGGAGGGGGGGGGTAGCCAGATGCCTGATGGTGAATAAAACAAAATGATTCGCAGAGTGGCAGAGACCTGAACGCTTCTGCACACACATACAGACACACACATGTACAGACACACACACACTCATGTACAGACACACACACACACGTACAGACACACACACACACACACACCCACCCACGGGCCCCCCCTCCCCGCCCGACACCGAAACCAAAACCCAGCAGCTGCAGCAGGGCATGCCGACCTGCAATCACTGTTGAATAACAGCATCAGTGTTCATCACCCCCCCGGCCCTGTCGGTGGAGTCAGTGAGAGGCAGGTCTCGGCAGGGTTTGTCAGCCAGTCAACTGTTTCGGGGGGGAGGGGATGGTAAAACGGGCACGCCCCAAACGAGTGGGAATCCAGCACGGGGTCCCCTATTTGCCGTAGGAGTCGTCGGTGCCCAGAACGATATCCCACAGTCACTGCTTTATTATCAGGCTGAGCAACAGCTCTGGCCTCAAACACCGACCCGGTTTTGCCGGCGCCGCGGAGAACCAGCAGCTCCCCTGCCTTTCTATCTAGTCAGACATTGAGTTTATTTATCCCACTTTGACCCGCTGGATCTCTCCCACCCACGTCTCCCGGCACAGGTCTGTCATACGTATTACCGCCATTACGGCAGCCGGAGTCGACGTCACCTGCCGGAACATCTCAGACGCGTTTAAGGGATGCGGAGATGGCAAGCCCGAAAGCGGCGAGGAGGCCCGCGTCTGCCGCTCGACCTGACAGGCCGCCGGCAGGATCTCTGAGGGAGGAGGCGGGCCTTCGGGGTCTGCAGTGTACGGAGTGCAGGAGTCTCACGTGGAGGGTAAGCCTGACAGGGCCCTCGGGGCACTGCAGTGCCACTGCAAGTGAGCGAGGGAGGCGATTACCATCTGAGAAATAAATAGAGATGTTAAGCAGAAACGTGCAGAAGCTGCGGGGAAGCGGCATGTGTGAAACACGGGGGCCAGGTCTGTGTCATACATACAGCTCTGAAAAAAATTAAGAAACCACTCTGTATTTTTAAAGAAATCGGCATTTTTTAATCCTGGTTCTGCTGGCAGAAGTTTACACTGAGCAGAAGGTTGCTTCCAGGTTCATAATTTCTAAGCAGTACACAAGAATAAGGTGAAGCAGGAGATACTGGGAACGACCAAAAACCAGCCAGGTAAAGAGCAGAAGTGACTTTCTAATGCGAGAGACGACCGTTAACTTATCTGACAGAGGATGAATCAAGTGACCTTCAAAAGGAATGGGAAACATTACATGTAGGTGTGAAGTGCACTGCTAGGACAGTTCATATCAGGCTCCTAGAAGCAGGACTGAAGTCCCATAAAGCAAGGAAGAAGCCCTTCATTAATGAGAAGCAGGGAAGAACCAGGCTGCAGTTTGCAAAAAAAAAATATATATATATATATATATATATAAATATATTCAGAAACACATAACCAATTGTGCTGTGGTCTCTTAATTTTTTCCGGAGCTGTACATATCATACACACCAGTTATGGACCAGTATGCCCACGTTCTACATGTAACCAGCTTCCATCTTCATTCGCTGTGTGCTACCTTTGAACCAGGAAGCAGCTTTCTCAATGTAAACACCACCTCCCGGACTGGTTAAAGTACTACCTGCTGTGAGCTTTGCTGGATGTTTAAACAATGTGCCCTTTGATTAAGTAGAACACCCCCCTCCCCAACCCCCCGGTTCAAATTAGGCTTTGAGTTACCTCTGCAGATAACACTGACTCACCAAAAAACAGAACCACATTCCAGAGGTCCCATCACCCCCCTCCCCCTTCCAGGGGGTGCCTGGGGGGGCAGTGAAAGGGGTACCACAATGCCTGTAACTCTTCATTAAATTAGTCTTTCATGTTTACAAGGTATGTTTTTAACTTGTTTGTACCCAGCTGCACTGCAACATACTCATCTTTTCTTTAATTTATTTTCCTTGTGGGGGGGGGGGACTATAGGATTTATTTGTACAATGCTGCCATAAAACAGAAATCCACAAGCCCAAGTGGATTTCTCATATGAGGAGTGTGTTGCAGGAATGTTAGGGGCTTTTTTCAGAAGACAGTCAGCTCTGGGGCCTTTCACCGGAGGCCCCGATAAGCCCTATGGTGCAGCTCCAGCATGATCTGATCGTGATTTTTTAGGCAGCTTGTCTTCTACATGCCTCCCACCTAAGCAGACATTTTACTGTATTAAATCTGAAATGCTGTTTGACTCTGGCAGAGCACTCAATTAAGATAAGAAGTCAGGCAGAGGAGAATATTTAGCCTTGCTATGCACTTAAATACATATGATTATTATTGGTTACAAATCTTAGTTTCACTAGCAGGCGATAATTTTATCTTTGGTGCCAGTTATATGTGTGAAGTGCTTTTTAAAATTCAGTAATCACTGAAAGAGCTACGCTGGTGGACAGCCAGCCCCTGGACTGCAGCTTTCGAAAACAGTTAAAGATGTAGGCTACCTACTTTGGCAGTCAAGTAATTATTAAACCGTATATATCTAAACTGAAACACAGATTGTTATCTGACCCTTGATACTTCCAGGCTTTACTTTCAGAATTAACACCCGTGTCGGGGCACAGTGTCGTTTTCAAAATCACTAATCGAGGCAATTAAGGAAAGTCCCCCCCAACTCAAGACCACACAAACACCCACTGGAAGCATTCACAGCAAAACGCGGGGCAGGGACATTTTTAAAATTCCAAAAAGACTTTAATTGCAACGAAATACAAAGAGACACGAGGAACAGGAATCGCAAGTCTACGACGGAGAAAAAAGCAGAGGAATTAAAAAAAACAAAACAAAAAAAAACAAGGTTGCACAGTGATCAAGGATATACATACCAGTAAGAACACAACTTTAATATTTAACTGGAAAATAACAGCAGACCAGCAGTTGATAAATCACGGTCATAAATTATAAAAACACTTAAAAACTAAATGAAAAAATAAGCACTGACAGAACAGAAAGGATCCTTCATGCCTGCTCAGAATTGCGACACCATAAATTAGTGATATCGTCTGATACTTATGTACAGTATTTATAGGTATATACACAGAGGCGTGCAGCTTGTCTGGAAAGATCGCGGGGTTAAGGCTTGTTTACTCCGCTGAAGCCGCAGCCTGGCAATCGATGCCAAGGCCCCGTGCTGAACGCGATGGGAGGGGCCGGCGCTACGTCTACTGTGCTCGCTCTGCGTCACCCCCCCGGCTATCTCCTTCCACACAACAGAGCGAAAGGATTATAGCCCATCTCTGGCATTTCTTTTAGAGCTCTGAAATAATGTATCTGTTTTTTTTTTTTGGTCAGTGCATCGAGAGACAGAGGGTGGGGTTTGGCAAGTCACGTGACTTCTCTGAGAGATGTCACATAATAAACTATTGCGATGATAGGACTGGTTGATCAGGGGCAGGGGGTTGAGGAATGACGACGCACCGTTTAGTTACACAGAGAGCTGGACTGAGCCAAAACAGCAGGAGGACGGAGTGTGGAGCCAGCCAACCGAAATGGGCTGTTCATTTGGAGTGGGGGGGGGGTGGGAGGCTGAACGGCACAATTACTGGGAACAACTCCAGCTGTTTTCAAGGCAAACAATTACCATAAATTCTAAGTATTTTTCCTTGTTTATTTACTGTTTATTTATTTGATGGGGTCTTTAAAAGGACAACAGCTGGAACATTCACTGCAGCTTCAAACATACAATATTGACTCTTTAAATCTTATTTACATGTGATAAACTTCGAGGAGTTCTGTGACACATACTCTGTAATTACTCTAAGTACACTGTATATGAATACCTTACACTAAGATATACATATAACTCTCACGGATGAATATAATTACCATTTCTTCAAAAAATAAATCATTCACACGAACACAGAACATAAAAAAAATATATATTTCTTGTGACAGAACGGTGACGTGCAAACTGTGATATGTTTGTGTGGCAGCGGTGGCGGGGTCACCGGGCGCACGCAGACGTACGCGTGCCAGGATACATCCGTGCCGGTCGATGCTGTCACATAAAATGTTCATTGCAGGCGTGTCCACCCGCAGACATCCCCCTACACACATATCACCCCATTCTTCACAAGCACCCTTCATACTGAGGTATCATCCCTTCCCAACCACCCCCAGGACCCCTAATGCACTTGGTATGACCCAGAATTTCGGCATATGTCTCTCTCATTGTGATCCCCACAGCGACAAACCATGTGCCCCATGTCATTTCGAACAAATGAGGACTGATGTACAACTGACCCCACAGCATCACTGTAACGCCTATATATAACTCCAAGCAAAATCCTTTTACATGAAAGAAAACTGAGACAATAAACACCATCTCGACAATGGTAAAGAACTCGTTCCCCCTATGCCGACACGTCCCTTACACGTTCCTTCTGCACCAGAGCGCGTTCTGGCACCACTATAAATACTTGAACACGAGGGCCGCAAGCTCACACGCCTCCATACATCGCCAGAACGCAGTGGACCGAAATAAATCACAGCGATAAACAGATCCAGCATGTTGGGGGCTATCGGTGGAGACGATCTGTCCATCCCTGAAAACCGGAACGATTTCACGCCTCATTACAGATCAAATTCCCTGTTACATCGTCTGGGGAGAAAGTGACTGAAGCCGAGACTGGAATCACCCTTTTCCAATTGCGGTTATTACTACCAGTCTCCCTAACCTTTGTGGTATTTCCCAACTTGGAAGTGTACACCAAGATGGAGAATATCTGCATCTTACAGCTGTATAAATAACACACCTTACACAAGAGTGTGCACGCGTGCACATATAGGTCAAAAATCTGTTCATCAGCCCCAATACAGGAGAATCATTTAGACTGAAAGTGACATCATAGCCATATATCCACCCATATATGTGCAGCCCGAAAAGTGTTTTTTAGTGTCTTTTGAGCCTTGTAGTTACATCAGCCACAGATTCCTTTTTGATGGTGTGAATGATGGTTTCACTCCCTCAAAATATCAGTGTGTAATAGAATCTACAGGGCAAAATGAGCAGCCTGAGGGGAAAAATGGTCTTGAATGTTTGGTTTTTGGATCCAAACTATTCACTTTCCAGTCCACAGTCTGCCAATCCATCCCTCCATTTCTGGGGTGCATCTGGTTATCTCAATATTAAAAACTATTAAAACTAACATTTATTCTTCTAAGAGAACAGAAGAGTCTGCAAGTCAAGATTCCTTTCGAAGAATGTTGGATGGTTTCTTCCATGTCTTTTTCATCTTCTTCTTCCTCCTCCTCTTCCTTCTTCCTCTCTTCATCCCCCACACCTCCTTCCCTAGACGTAGACGGCAGTCCGGGAGATGACTGAACCATCTCTTTGGGACTCCATGTCGTCATCGAGGTAGCCACCCACCTCCTCGTGGGGCCGGATCTGAAGGATGGACTCCTCACCGCCAAAATGAACGTACCTCTCCTCCTCAGCGTCTTCCAGGTCATCGAACTTCCGCCTCTCCACCTCATCCATCTCCCCACTTAGCAGGATGTCTTGGGCGGTGGGGGTGGTTACCATGACGCCCTCCGTCCTGTTGATGTGGTTGGATTTCTCTGTCATGGCCTCAGGGTCACCATCCCGGTAAGTGTAGATGGGACCGTTGTTGTTGCCCCCTGTACCATTCTTGCTGGTCTTCTTGCCCCCAAAGATGCGGGTCTCGTATGTCCCTTGGTTGCCATTGCCACGGTAGCCCTGCCCATGCTGCCGATGGCGGGTCACCAACACGGCGACCAGGGCTCCCACGAGCAGGACGGCCAGAAGACTGCCGATCACGGCGCCTGCCACCACGCCAGCATTGGATGAGTTCACTGGGCCGTCTGTAACGGGGAGGGGAGATCATAGGTGGGGGGAGGGGGGAGGGAGAGACAGAGACAGGAGGGATTGGTTGATTGCTGCGCAGTGTCAGATTCCTTAGCGTGTCTGGCTGCGCGCTGGGAGCTGACGGCAACCTGAAGAGTCGCATCGCTGGGAACTGTAACTTCTGGCACTATGTCCTGCAGATATCAGCTTCTCCCATACACCCACCTCCCTGATTCTACAGCAAGAGCTCAGTCTCAGGTTTAGGTCACACGGAAGACTAAAAGCTGATATGTACTTTGGCGTATATATTTACATATGTGTATATATTTAAAGTTTTACTTATCGGTACAGCATAGCTGTGTACGCTGAGCCATAGCCTGATGCACACCTCCCCAGAACTGGGAACGTAGCTATGTGGCTACTGATGGTGTAGATTCAACGCGGAAATATAAATCAGCCTTAAGAGTATCTGGGTCTGGAGGGCTTGACAATAGGGAGCATGTTGGGTGAGGGGGGTGGAGGTGAGATGGGAAAATGGCAGGAAGGCAACTTATCCTTGAAGCCATAAATACAACCAAGAGAACAGAATGTCCCCCCACCTTTCAGCCCCGGGTAGCTGATATGACAGGTGAGCTGTACCCGCCTTAGCCGAACGACAATCTGATACGGAGACACACAAAGCCTCGAAACCCCCCTATTGGTCACTTTGATCCGTTTCAGGTTCTACACCACCCCCCCGCCAATTGCCACAGGAGCCACGGGGGACAGCCTGACACAGCGGAGAACTTAGAGGACTGTGCCTGACGTCTAAATCAAGGCTGGAAATGCACCCCCCACTGTCAGAGTGGCTGCCTGCCCCCGCCCTGCCTTCCGTCTCCCCTCTGTACAAGCGGAGATCTCCATTTTCCAAATGCGGAGCCCTTAAGTCCCCCTCACAAGCTAATTACGCCTGTTTCCATGACGATTCCAGTTGCAGAACCTTCTGGTGGCGTGCGAGAGACCCCCGCCCTTCCTTTCTCTCTGTCGCTCTTTCTCTCTCGCTGAGATGAGGTATTTTTCACAGCTGTCTCCCTCCCATCACCGTTTTCAATCTCTTTCCCCAATAGACAGGGAGGAGGGACCAGGGATCTAAAGAATGGTACACAGGGTGCTTCCCAGCGGCACATTACCCCTCATTGCCAAAGACACCAGATGCAGAATGTGATTTCCTCAGTCCCCCCACCCCCACCCCCGCAGAAAAACAAAATAAATTTTACAAAAACCAGCCAGGCCCCCCAGAGATTTTTCAGGTCAGGCTGGTTCTCACTGAGCTTTAAGGTCAGCCAGGGCTGTTCAGATAATGGACAAGAGGGAAAACTGGGTTTATCTGCTAATATAGACACATGGACTCACACACACACAAACACACACATATATAGTTTGACACAAAAAAATAACCAATCAGACTACTGAAATGCATTATGGGCTGATTCGAGTCAGGCATCCAGTTTATTTTCAAGTGAAGGTCGACACAGACCAGAAGACTGAGCTCACATTTTACTCAACAAGAGGAAAGGCTTTGCTCTGGCGTATGCTAAGGGCCTCCCTGCAGGAGACCAGGCCGGATGCAGCAGAAGCCAGGAGGCGGGGTTATATGGAGCCACGGCCAATCAGAAGAAACCGAGACCGAACCATCCTGACATTCAGGGAGCAGATGCAATGTCACTGGACCAGGACAGACGGCAGCCCCACAGGCCAAAACGCCTCCCGGGTGAGCAACTCGTCTCCTAGCAGGAGGTGGTTCTGGAGACCCCTCTCTCCATTTATGAACAGCAGGAATGACGGTGGGGAAGATTGGAGGGGGGGTTGGAACAAGCTACCTATTAGTGAGCCGCAGTGGCTGATAGTGTCGCCTTGACCGGAGGAGCCGGCTTTACCCTGCATAGCCGCAGCTTTACCGCGGTCATCCGCATCTTTGCTTTGAGTCCCCGAGGAACGGCCCATGAGCACTTTCATCCCAGAGAGCTTCTGCTGTGACAGTCCGAGGCACTGATGCGGAACAGAGCGAGCCAGTGTGTTTGTGGGGGGGGGGGGGCTGTATATGCAGGAGGCCCATTCGGAAGGAGCTTTTAAACTGCGGCTTCTATCACCATGATGGATTTCCACCTCGGCAGAAAATGACTTTCGATGAGGGGGGTGGACGTGCCTCATGTGCTGGGAAGAGCGCACCACTTCCGAGAGACCCCGATCACTTAGGGGCCATCGGGGATCAGTTCATACCCCCAATGGCCTTACTGAGAGCCACTTTTCAAATTCAACTTGCCTGATTTGCAAACAGACCTTAGTGATAAGGCGCTGAATGTACAAACGCACTCAGACACGCCTACATTTCCTGCACTTACGACAATGATGCGCAGAATTATTTTAGAGTGAATCACATAAGATAGCAAATCTTTGCTTTGAGCAACTTAGGCGGCTTGACACCAGACAAAAAGCGCAAACATCTGTCTGACAAAACCACAACAAGGAATTTTCAAGCAAGAGGCAAGATGGTGGACATTGTGACTTGGGATTTGCATAGGAACGTACTCACACCAACTAGGCTGACATAAAAATGTCTTCTCAGGACAAATGAAAAATGACTCAAACCAGGAATAAAATTAGCTAGCTGGTATGAAATTTCATTTTGAGAAGAGTTGCCACTTGTGTATGTATGTATTAGTCTGTGTGTGTGTCCAGCATAACAGGCAAGGAGATTTGAGGGGATTGAGGCTCAGACCTCAGTATGACTCACCTCTGACCATAACCGTGAGGTGGTGGCTGGCTGTCCCCCGCTGGTTTGTGGCTTCACACACGAAGGTAGTGTTCATGGTGTCATCCACCTTTGGCACGGTCAGGTAGGCCTCCTGGACCTGCACGTTTGCCGGCAAAGGCCCTGAGGTGCTGTGGAAAGAGAATGGGGGTCACCGCTGTGTCCACAACACGAACAAAAAAAACAAGAGAATTCATCCTTTACAACGCTCCTGGCTCAAAGAAAGACAGAGGGGAGAAGCTAATTTGCTGACGGTAACCTGAAGGCTGCAGGCACTCACGTTTTCCAGGCGATGGAGGGTGGAGGGTTCCCAAAGGCCTGACACATCAGTGTGGCAGAACTCCGGCCCATGTACCAGTTTTCATCGTAGCCTGTAATGCTCACTTTTGGGAGATCTGGTAGGTACAGGAAGAAGCGAGTCACCCAGGGAGGAAATGTCCTCATCTCTCATCAGACCCTTCCCTTCTACAGGAATGGAAAATGTTCTTACACTCGATGGCCAGTTTCATGCTGATTTCCTCATTTTTGCTTTGTGTCCGGTGCTCGATGACACATTTGATTTCCTTGCCATCATCTGCTGCTGTTGGGACAAGCCTATACTCGCTGATCACTGTCACAGTGTTGCTTGTGCCCGGTTTGGTCACCACGGTGTCATTGCCATTGAAGGGACTTATCCAGGTAATCTTTGCAGGCGGCCTGCCATTGGCCGACTGACAGCGTGCAACAACAGTTGAAGTATTTCCTGCCACAGCTGTGATGGCGGAGCCATTGTTCTCTGGTTTGGCTGTGAGGATAGGAAATCAATGTTAATGCTTAATAGTTAATACTAGCAGGGTGGGGACTGCAGTGGATACATTGGGATTTGAAGGAACCAGGATACAAAAACCAATAGAAACAAGGGGGATAGGCAAGAGGCAATGAAGCGCTGCTGGATTCCAATAAGGGGTGTACCACCTCAAAAGGATTAACGAGGTATGGCTGACCCGGTCGCCCTACTTATCATGCAAATAAGACGGCTTTCATGTTGAATAATTCAATGGGGGGAGAAGCCTGCTTAGCAGTTATCTACTGACCGAGCATGATGAGTGTGGTGGTGCCCTGCTCATTGCCACTGGGGTAGGTGGCATACTCGCAGATGTAGCGGCCCTCATCCGTCATCTTCACGTCCGAGATGGTGATGGAGGGGTTCGTAAGGGAGGGTTTCACAAATGTGACCCTTCCAATCAAAGGCGAACTGGGATAACTGGGCCCAAAATCAGGGTGGTAGACAGCTATATTGTCCCTCTTGCCATCCGCTGGTTCCCAGATCCATGACACCTATGAGAGAAGGCACCTTCCCAGTCATGAAAGAAAGAAGCCAGCCATTGGACCTTCCGGTTATCTGGTGTTGGGAGTTTCTGTAACTTCTTACCTGTGTGAGTGCCGTCCCCGACTGGTTGGGGTATTCGCACTGCAGGCTGACGGTCTGGCCCGGATAGGACACCACTTCTGGCTGCACCTTCACCCTCTGGCTAAACGCATCTGGAAAAACATACAAAATGGGCCCTTTAAAAAAAAAAAAGTAAGAAGACGACAGACAGTACCCATCAGCCCACACAGACCCAGATATCCTGAGTCCTTGGCCGCCTCGTTGTGGGAAACTCTCCGGGTTTAGCCCAGAATGACAAACAGGCCTCGCAGGAAAATTCCTCGTAGGGCAGGATACTAGTGTAAGTAGGCCAGGCTTCTGAAGTCTGCAGGAACCGAGCATTTTTTGGATGAGTCTCGGAATTGGGGACATGTCAGATGGAAAAAAAAAAATCCAACTGCCACCGGAAAGGGTTGCTTATCTATTTCAGAAAGCACATGTGGGGGTTCACTTTGGGGGTTCATTATAGAGAGGGCTGGTAACACGCACCCTGAAACATACACGTTGTTAAGATTGGGACACCGTGAGGTTGAATGTCCATTTCAAATGTAGTCAGCTTTTTAAAAAGTCGCTGCAAATACACCCCCGTTCCCCATGACAACAAGCACGTGCACACTAACCCGCTAATCCATGCGTGCTAAAATGGTAGCGTGTCTGTGAGAATGACGCCAGCACTCTCGAACAAAAACTCCCCGTCAAACCGGTTTGGATGTTTGAATAGGCAGGAAATCCGCCGCTGTTTCCAATAAACATTCCCCCCCCACCCCATCCTGCCCACTGCAGACAGATGACTAAACTCATTACGCTTCAACCATTATCGCGATCAATGAAATTCATCACCACGCCACACCACGTCTGTCAGAGAGCACAGTGAGGGGAGGCTGGGCACGGGGGCATGTTTCTCGTGTGGGGGATGCAGACTAAACCCTCCTGGCATCTCATTAAATTGTCAGAAAGCCCAGTGCAACCTGATACTCAGGAAGTGGTCGAGAAACACATTATAGCTTGTGGTGGAAAATAAGGGCTGGAAGCATAAAGTTAATGACAACCATTAATATGTGTGGCATAGTATAGAATACACAGGGGTTTATAAGGTAGTCAGTAAACTGCATTAAAAATATGTGGGAAAGAAGAGAGGAAAACATTGCAGACTGTTCAGGACAACTATATTAACTTGTGTAAGTATATTAACACACAGAGGTTTATAACATACTGAGTAGCTATTAAATGTGTGTGGTGTAGCATCACCCATCACTAAGACCTCTACAGGCCAGGAAGAGCCTTTATTCAAAGCATGTGCAGTTTGGAGAGCAGTAAAATCAATATAACGTATAACGGCTTGAAACCGGTCAATTTGGGAATGTAGGGTTCTGTTTTTTGAGAAGGGGGTGAGGTAGATGGTTTGGCTTTCCTTCCAGTATATTTATGACAGGTCACTACCGATTACTGCAATACCCTGTTAACACCGTCCAATGGACACAGGAAGCGTAAATGGCAGCGTCGGGAAGCTGGTGGTGGCCGGCGAGACGAAAGAGGTCAGGTTCTGTCCCGCTTTGCAAGGGTGCTCAAGCGGGACCAGGAAAAGTGCCCAAAAAAATAAATAAATAACTGAAAGCTCAAGGCAAATTGAAGTTCCTTGCTGGGCTCCCAGCCTTTGCCGAGACTCTGGACGCTCGCCACGGGCGAGAGCGATGCTCCGTGATGAGCAGAGGGGAGAGGAAGAGACAGATAAAGAGGAACACTTCATATATGCAGAGGCCAGGATAGTGGCCGTAGGGACCAGGAGAAGTGACTAATAAAGGTGCATTATTATTAACTCATATACACATACAGAGCGAGAGTGTGATGAACAGACAAATCTGAATGCAAAGTGGCTGCCACACATACGCGCACACACACAGACATATACACACATACACATGCACCATCTGCACAACACACTGTGATCTGCCGTCCCCAATAATCTTCTGGCACAAAAGGTGTTACTGTTCCAGAACTAGGCAGCCAGGGCCATCTATGCTATACTGAACCCTGGCCCCACTCAGATACGGTCACCTGTGCCTCACTAAACCCCTCCGCCATTCAGATATGGTCACCTGTGCCATTCTACATCCCACCCTCATTCAGATATGGTCACCTGTGCCATTCTACATCCCACCCTCATTCAGATATGGTCACCCGTGCCCTACTAAACCCCTCCCCCAAACAGAGATAGCTACCTGTGTCCTACTAAACCCCTCCCCCATTCAGATATGGCTACCTGTGTCCTACTAAACCCCTCCCCCATTCAGATATGGTCACCCGTGCCCTACTAAGCCCCTCCCCCAAACAGAGATGGCCACCTGTGTCCTACTAAACCCCTCCCCCATTCAGATATGGTCACCTGTGCCCTACTAAACCCCTCCCCCATTCAGATATGGTCACCCGTGCCCTACTAAACCCCTCCCCCAAACAGAGATGGTCACCTGTGCCCTACTAAACCCCTCCCCCAAACAGAGATGGCCACCTGTGCCACACTAAACACCTCCTACTTACAGAGATGACCACCTGAACCCCTCCCCCAATTGGGCACAGCCTGACAGTCTGGGTTTCCTCCCATCTACTGTCACCAAGACATAGCAAACTGACCTGCAGTCCAAATCATGTCAAGATTACAAAATTTATAGCATACATACAGTGGCTCACTAAAGACTGAATCTTTCAGCTCATTATTATTATTATTATTTATTATTATTATTATTATTATAAATGCCAAAATTCTCTTTTGAGCAGTACTGCTGAGAAACCATCTGGTACATTTGGCCCAGTGGAGCAGTCATGGCAACCAATAAAAAAATAAATAAAAATAAGAGTTAGGCTCTGGACCATGACACACTTCCATCCTTTTAATTTGTTTAATTATTCATAATTATATCCCAAGAAACACAGAGAGATCAAAGCAATAACAATTCAGAAAAAAATAAGAGTTTTAACAGTACATACTGAGGTCGAGAAGGGAATGCACTCTCACCCCCCCCCAAGCCCCACCCCCCCCTGCTGCCCGCCCACCTCCAAAAGCATCTGTCAAATGTGGGGATTTCAGGGGAAGGTAAAAATGTATAAATATGTCATAGACTGTCAAACTGAATGAGGGACAGAGAGCAGGCAGGGAGGAAGGGGTTAATAATAAATAAGGTTGAGGAAGACAGCTGAGGGGCAGGAGGGAGAGAGAGAGAGGAGAGAGAGAGAGAGAGAGAGAGAGAGAGAGAGAGAGAGAGAGAGAGAGAGAGATGGGTAAACACCTGACCTTGGAGGAATTCAGTAAGGGTCAGCAGGAAGTAAACATAAGACTTGGGTGGCTCAGATAAGAACATTCTGACAAAACAAGGATACAGTACAATCAGGAATGCTGGCAGGGATGCTTATTGGCATACAAAGCCTAATTTGTAAATGACTTAGACCTTTGGAAAAGCAAGCCGCGTCGCCGCCCCCCTGTGGGTAGGAGTCTGCGTTATGTAAGTCAGCAAGCCCCCAGCACCCAGATTTACAGAGAAACAAGCTACTTAAAATGTGCATGCATATCATCTCACGGAGAGATATCACAGGCCCTGACTTTCTCCACTTCCACAAGCTTTTCGGAACGCAGAGAGACCCATTGCAGGGCCAGAATCACAGGGACCTGTGGAATGATCATGGTTTTCCATGAGCCAGACGCTGCCATAGGGGTTGGAGGGGAGGGGGAAGGAGGGAAGTGAGCAGGTACTATGGAGGTTGGGTTGATTTAAGGAGGGAGGCTGCTGTCAGATGCAGTCAGAGCTGAGGGGGACCAGTCAGTCCTGCTCCTGTCAAAGGTGCTGGAGAGGTACAGGGAACAGCTGCAGGAGATCCGCAGGGAGAAGGAGGAGGCTCCGAATGCATGTCAGCGAGTGAGAGAGCGAGAGAACATTCCGACCAGCCTCCATTTTGGCATCGTGCACAGATCAATCGTTCACCTTCAAATGCTTCATGGAATATTTGACACATGCTGCTGGCTCTTCTCAAAGATCCTTCACTAATTTTTAGGTGCCATGCTACAGATTAATATTTCAGTAACACCCCAAAATGATTATAAAAAATATTCTAAACAAATCGAGAGCATTTTACAATGAAGATAACTTTTCTCATGTTAAGCTTTTATTGGGTGTAAATTGTGTTTGATTTTTTTATCCTGATTTATTTTGTGACTCAAGCCCAGATGAACGATTATCCAAAACAAAACGTTATTAAACAGAGCTATCAATTCCATTTGAATTGGCTGGCAACTGAAGGTTGTTTTATTCACCTGAATCATGAATAGCTTATGAATCAGCAATTGTGCATGTTCCTTTGAGGTTAAATACAGGTATGAACCTGTAGGAAATCCTCAAAAGGAAAAATGAAACCTGAAAGTGAAAACTGTTTTTTTTTTGGGATGTGATTTTCAGGTTCCTTGCTTTGCCGTTCCCCTCTTTCAATAAACAGAACTGGGGAATTTAAAACATGTCAGTTTTCCGCAACCTGCCGTCATCTGGGGAAGTGGCTGACGTAGAACAACAGAAGGATTTCTCCTCATTGTATTACCCAACACCACCACTGAGGCTTTTCAGTGTGTGAAGGGTTAGGTACAGTAGCTACTGGCCAAAACCAACTAACAACAACATTTTTTGTTTAATAGATGATTTGATCATTTCTATATACAAAGATCAATGTGACCCTGACCAGAAGCATTTAGGAGGGATGGATATACAATGTTCATTGAAAATATAAAAATGAGTGGCTCATACAAGTTATGGTAATTTATTAGATTCATACAAGTTTTGCCAATCCTACCCAGGATTTTTGACGGAATTTCACTTCAAGGGTAGATTACAAGCAAGAATAAGAGAGGCTATGTAGGATCAGATGCCTGATGGTTGTTGAGCATGGTGGAGGCGGACCAAAGAGGCTTAAACTGTGGTTACCATCCTCTTCGTATTCTGTCAGGGGATTCTGGCTTAACCGGTGTGCCAACTTGAGCTAGCCACATGCTGCGTTACTGGCCTGTACCATCAACAGGGTTAGTCGGGGGGTGGACATCACGGTACAGTAAACACAGGCGGGCAGGGCTTGACAACAC